CAGCCGGGACAAGGCCGGCCCTGGGGCTCTGCGTCTGCTCGTCGGTGCTGCCGGGCTGGGGGTTGGTTTGCCACGTTATACACACACACGCTAGCAAGGAACTGCTATTCCTCTTCTGGTGTCTTTGCCTGAAAGCCCTGTCATTTCAAAGTTATAAGAATTCAGAGGGAAGGGGCTCATATTCTCCATTCCAAGGGAGGTTCCCACCTTCCTTGGCAGACATCTGTCTTTCAAACCAAGACACAAATGCCCTTTCACTCAGTCCTCTCCATCTGTGCTGCATTCTGCCTACCCCAGCAGCCTGACTAACCCAGATCTCTCTCTTTTTTTTTTTAATTAGGGACCAAAGATGCATGGTATTGCGAAGGGATGTGTCCTGCAAGGCCCTGCTCTCCCATTGGGGGCAGAACAAAGAGGAGGAAAAGATTTACATTAAAAGCACTGAGTAAATCTTTATTATGAAACTCACATCTCTTGCTGTCAGCAGCCTCCATGCAGAGAATGTGCAGACTAAAAGTCTTCCTGCCAGCAAGGGGAACAGGAATACAGTTTGCACTGTGATATCTGGTGTTTCTTCAGTGGATAAGCAATACAAGAGGTTAAAAATCACTTTGCAGGCTCCTGTTTGTTAAGGTTAACATCTCAGTGCTGCACTGAACAAGAAATAGTGCAGGCAAATGCTGAAGAAAGGACCTGGAAACCTGGCCCCTGTGGAACAGGCCATAATGAATCTGTGAGACCGGGCTGACTTTATCAGCAGTGCACCAGCTGGACTGCTTGCAGAAAGCAGAGAACACTGCAGAGAGGTGAACACAGGGGTGATACAGGCAGGCAGATGGTGCCGCTCCCAGCTGCAGCAGGGAGTGAGGTAAAGGGGTCCATTGCCAGGGCCTCTCAGGATACCAGGCCCTCGAACCATCCCTAAACATCGCTGGGCTGTGGAGCAAGGCACTGCTCCCTGCAGAGTGCCCTGTGCTGCCTTCTCCACTGGCTGTGTTTCACAGAATCAGCAAGTAGTTGGACTTTTTAAAGGTCATCTATTCCAAGCCCCCTGCAATAAACAGGGATACCTTGCACTAGACAAGATTGCTCCAAGTGCTGTCCAATTTGGTCTTGATTATTTCCACAGGTGGGCTGCCAAAGCTTCTCTGGGAAAATTGTTTTACTACCCTCACTGTAAAGAAATACTAAAGAAACACATAAGAAACCTATTCTAAGCCTGACCTTTGCAGTGAGAAGCCATTCCACCTTGTCCTGTCCCTCCATCCCTTGTCCCAAAATCCCTCCTCAGCTTTCCTGCAGTCCCTTTAGGCACTGGAACAGGCTCCAAGGTCTCTCTGAAGCCTCCTCTCCCCCAGGTGAGCACCCTCAGCTCTCCCAGCCTGGCTCCAGAGCAGAGGGGCTCCAGTCCTGGGACCATCTCCATGACGACTTCTGCACTTGCTCCAACAGCTCCACATCCTTCTGATGCTGGGTCCCCAGGGCTGGGGCAGCTCTGCAAGTGGAGTCTCACCTGAGTGGGCAGAGGAGCAGAATCCCCCCCTCACATGCTGCCCACACTGTTTGAACCCAGGTAACCTATGTCGCTGTAGCTAAGTGCTATCAGCACCCGCAGACTGGTCAATACTATGGGCTAGGGGAGCAGCAAATGAACGCGGAATGAGAATAAAGATCGCGGGAAGAGCGAGACACGGCCTGCGGAAACAGAGCTGGTGCTGTCACTGTCCCTTCCCAGCCACAGCCAAGCTGAGCTACGGCAGCCGGGGCGCAGCAGCAGCGGAGCCTGAGGGCAGGGCAAGGCCGGGCCGGGCCGGGCAGCAGCAGAGCGCGCGGCGGCAGTGGAAGAGGAGCCGGAGCCAGGCCAGCGGAACGGCACTGGCGGCTCCCGGTCGCTGGAGCTCCAGCTGGAGCTGCCCGGCAAAAGCTCCTTACACCCGAGGGTCCGGGGGCGCTCAGTCCCGGTGCGCTGCACAGGCCCTCCCCAGGCCTGGGTGCAGCGCCCGGGGACCGGTGAGATGGCGGAGCCTCCGGGTTCCGCGGGCAGCGCGGGGTACGGGCGGGGCCGGTGTGCGCGGCCCCTTTAAGAGTGAGAGCATCACAGCGGCGCCAGGCACGGCGGCGGCCGCACTACGCATGCGCACAGCCTGTATCTGCGACTTATTCGGTGCCGCCGGCACCGGAGTAGCGTGCAGGGGCGGGGAATGGCGTTGTAGTGGACTTGCGCATGCGCAGGACACGACACTGCCGTGCGCTTTGTGGCGCTGCCGGAAGCGGGTGCGGGCCGAGCGCAGCGAGCGGCGCTCCCGGTCCCGTGTGGCCGCGGCCCCGTGGCGCCGGCGGCCTGAGGGAGTGGCGCTCCCCGACATGTCTGCCGGGCTCTCGGCGCAGGTAAGACGGCCAGGCTTCCCACCACGGCGCTGTCGGGCTCGGCCCGCTTCGCTACCCGCGGGGCCTGTGGCGCGGGCGCCGCCCGGAGCCTCCACCGCGCTGACCTCTGCGCTGCCGCGGCGGGGCCCGAGCGAGGCGGGCGATGGGCGAGCCCGTCCCCAGGGCTCCCCCAGCGCCTCGCCCCTGGTTGGTGCCGCGGAGCCACCGCAGGGCGGCCGGGAGCGACTCTCGATGACCACTCGCGGCCCAGGGCCCCTCTCGGCCCCTGCTCCGGCCCGGGGGGTCGAACCGCGTTCCGGGTCCCTGGGAGGAGCGTGAGGTGGTACCCGCACCCTTCCTCCCGTGTGGATCCTGCGAGCGGGAGCTGGACCTGAGGGAGGAAAAAGTTTGTGTCGCTGTTTCCCCGCAGAGTCCGACCAACAGCCCGCTGGTCCCGAGCGTGCCCGGCTCAGGCCTCTGGGGTCTGTGGGGATTCTGCTTTTCCCTGTCCCATTCGGTCTCCGTGCCCAGTGGATAGTTAATCCTATTTATTTGGCAAACTCAGCAGCGAGGCTTCTCCCCGGAGTGAGGGGGCTGTGCCTGCAAGAGAGTCCTTCCTGCTTGAGCAGTTTGGAGACTTCACCAGAAACTGGACCGACGAATAAGTGCCAATGTAAAAAAAACTGTTGAGTAAAAATTTTGTTCAGTCGAGTGCACTGTTTTGTGGTCAAGTTCATTAAATAGTTTTTTGCATAAATGAGGGGTTTGAAAACTTACTAAATTCTCAGGTGACTTGCCTGGAAGATAATTTATCTCAAATCTAGTGTTTAAAATGAGAGTGATAGTGAGAAGCAGAGTAGTACTGATGTCTGAGTAATGATGCTTGAAAGCAGAATAATAGCCAAAACCTACAAAACTGTTTTTGCTTTCTTATGGCTCTGCTCAGCTTCATATGTAACAGCATGCAACTTGTAGGCAGTGGCCTTCTCTCTAGCAAGTGCCCTGCCTCCTGCTTTGGCCAGGCTGTGTCCAGCAGTGTTCCCAGGAACCAGAGGCAATGGGGTCCATGAACTGGGAGTGCTGGAGATAGTGAGGCTGGGATCCTGTGGGATCCTTTGAGACCCAGTCTTTCCTTTGGCACATTCATCTATTAATTTCTGCTACAGTAATGCAATAAAATCTGACAAATTTGTCTTCTCCGGGCAAGGGCACCTGGGATTCTCTCCTCTGACCCTTGGTAGTGCTGTGGCTGAATGGCTTGGGAAAAGGATGACAGGAGTTTGGTTTTTCTTTTGACTTTTCTCTTCTTGCATTGAATATCGACTTTAAAAAAATTGATAGTAACCCTGACATGCATTTTTTAAAATTTCTTTAACAAAATACTTAAAATACCAACTTTCTGCTGGTCTTTCTCTCAGATAGGTCTTCTGTTTGGTTCTTGTAATTTTTATTTTTTCCCTGCTCTCTGTTCTGGCAGTTGTTCTTCACACACAGTGCATTCCTTAGGCGGAGCTAATATGTTAGGTGGCTCCAGAGGTGAGCTGCCAGGAGGGCTGTGCTTCCTCAGGCCTGGTAGGGTTAATAGCAGAGCTGCAGTTAGTCTCAGCTAGATGTAACTCGCCTTCTCCAACATGAACTTGGAGGGCAGTGGGACAAGTGGGCAAATAGCAGCTGTTCATGTTTAGAATGTCAGACAGCTGAGAAAAATTGCTCATAATGGTCTGGTTTGTGCTTTGGGGGAAGGTGGGTTGTGGCAGGATGGCTTTCTGGCAAGAATTGTTTCCTTTGGAGAGCAAATGTTAGTAATGTTAGGTAGCAGAGATTATGTTAAATGAGAGGACTTCCTTTTTTTCCAGGGAATACTCATAAAGCATATCTGACATCCCAGAACTTTGATGTGGACTTTTTTTGTGGCTGCTTCTCTGGTTTGGGCTCAATTAGGCCTTCAGCCTTCCTTGGGCATCTCTCTGCTGATGTTTTTGCATCTCTTGTACAGTAGTAATCCATTGTGTCTGCTCTGCTTTTTTGGTTCTAGTAAAAGCCAAGAGGGGTCTACTTTTGGGACAGCTTGTCTTTGTGCTTGAAGTTCTTTTGCACTGTAGGAAAATACTTCATTTTACATCTGCAGCTGCTGAACATTACCAAATGTTCATGTTAGCTCCCAGCACTTCCCTCCCTTAGTGCACATTTTCTGAGGAATTGCTCTGTACCTGAGCACTGATTCCCTGACCTCTGCCTGCACATGCTCCGAGCACCTCAACTTCAGCCTTGCACCTTCTGTGCATTCCTTCACAGTAACTGCAGAATGTGGCTCTGTTTAGTTCTTGCTGTCTAACTTTAGTGATCCAGGAGTTTAAATATTTTGGCTGCAGCTGTTCATATTAGTTCTCTGGAAACTGGAAATAGAACTTTATTGTTTGAGTTTTATGGACTTGTAATTCTTTTGTGCTCACTGGCTTCTGCAGTGTTTGAGAACTGAGGATCTTGGATCCTCAATGCTGAGACATCCAGTTTCTTTGGTTTATATGATAATAACAACTGAAGTTTCTAAGATGAAAGTTTCTAAGATTGGGAGGAAATGCATTGAAATCCAGATTATTTACCATGCTCGGGATTATTGGAATTAGTGCTCAGTTTCATAATGTCTCATTGCCTTTGCTGGTTTTAATGCTGGTGATTTCTTTCCAGGTTTGTCTGTGAGAGTGTGAGGATGTTTTATTTAGTGCAGTCTCCAGGAACATACAGTGAACATAGAGCATACAAGAGTGTGTAAAACTGCTTGGTGAACAACAGAAATTTATTTATTAATCTACTCACCCCTTCTCTGAATCAGCTTTCTGAGAGTGCTTAGTGATTTGAACCCCCAAAAGACATAGGTGTGTGTGAAATGTGAATATTCAGCTTCATGAAACTTGTGCAAAGTTAGCTGGGCAAGTGAGGGTGCTTCTGAGATACAGAAGTATTGCAAAAACAGGAGTCAAAATTAGGTGTGGTGTGACAGTTGCTTTCTTGGTCTGCAGTTTGCTGGTGGTGTTTCAGTAGTTGCTGATAAATACAGCGTCTTGGGAGGGAGGGAGTCCTGCTGCTGCACAGCAGTAGGTGCTCTTTGAGGAAAGTTGGAAAACTGTCTGTCAGTGTGTGGAATCTGTCAGGAACATTGTTTTGGATATCATTGTGTGGAGACTTTCCAGCCTTTTTTAATTCCTGCCCAGTTAGAAGAAGCTGTGTGCTAGACAGATTTAGAGATAGTCCAATCCTAACAGATTGCAGCCATTTCCAATTCAAGTGGCAGTTGAACTGGAGTCTTAAATAAAAAGTAACTTCCAGTCCTTCCAAATAAAAACTTTTAACTGCTAAATATAAGGGGGGTGGATAGATCGACGCCCTGATAAATCTCCCTCATAAGGATTTTGCATCTGAATCAATTACTTTTCTCAGTATTCCCTGGATATTGCTAAAATGAACAGGTTTCTTCTACAGCAAGATGAAAGGAAGTCTCAAATATTAACAAGATACAGGCTGATGACTAAATTTATGTAAGAATGTCAGGCAGCAGGCTGGGAGTGTGTGGTATGAGAAGTTTTGGTTGTCCTGTTGCTAAACCTCTTCAGCATGGCATGTTGTATATATCCTGTATCTGTTAAAAGTGTTACTCCTCAGAAGTGTGGAAGGGTCACCCAGAAGAGCTTTGCATCTTTTCTTCATTGTGGCAAGGAGCTGCCTGAGGACAAGTGATTGTGTTCTCCTGTTCCCCTTCCTTAGTGCAGTTAAGGTTTTCTAAGCTGCAGCACGATTCTTCTAGATGAGAAAGCTCCCACATAGGCCTTGCCTGCCTTTTGCTTGTGTTGTACAGCAGTTCCACACACCTGGGCACCCTGCTCTGCGCTGAGGGGGCCACAGTGAGTGTGCTGTGCTTATCAGAAGCTCCTGCCATGAGCTGTTCACTGCCAGCTGGAGGGCAGGCATGGAAAGGACATGCTGTTTTATCAGTTCAAATCAGCTTATTTAAACCAATGTTCCTCAAATACTGTTACAGGGTTACATGCTTCTAATGAACTTGTGTCACGGGAGAGGAATGGGGAGTGCTTCCCCTCTTCCCTTGTGGGATAGGGGGTAGGGACTCTGCTCTGGGAATAGAGGCAAAGTGCTGTGAGGATGAGAAAGGAGGGGGAAATCTTGGAAAGTGGATTATATCTCACTTCTGTCCCTTCTGCTTTGACTTCAAACACACACTGGAGACTAAGATGCTGGTCAGGTAGAAGATGAAGCATGTCTGTGGCTACAGGATATGAAAGGAAAAGATAGGAGTCTGGAAACCTAGATAGTGGAGCTAAGCAGTGATCAAAGCCATCATTGAGGATTGAGATTTTGTAGGTGTTGTTTGGTATTTCATTTTTGAGGGTATTTTCTTTGGGTTTTTGGTTTGGTTTGATTTTGGGGGGTTTGTGTGTGTGTGACTTTTCTGTGTCTTGGAATTGCCATTTTTCTCTAAGCCTAAGGGTTTTGACCACAGTGACATGAGCATTCCCCCTGCTTCAGTCCCCAGAGGAGGAAAGATACCTGAAGGATATAGGAATTAATTCCTACAGGCTGCTGCTGCTCTGGTTAACTCACTAGCAGATAAGCACACATGACTGTGTCTCAAACCACAAAGAATGTAGTTTGGAAGACAAGATCTTGCTGCCTCACTGTTCTGTCTCCCTTGAAGGGAATAATCAGGCTTTGGGTATAAACATCTGGGCAGTCAGCTAAGTAGGCAGATTGTTTAAATAGGTCTTTCCCTAGGAATGTGTATTTCCAGGCCTGGTTTCTTGTTTGGTTTTGGGCCAACGAATGTCTAGGGGAGGTGTTCAAAATATTCCCTGTATAACTAGATGGCTTCCAAATTGTGCCAGGTAAGTGCAGTTGGCAAACGGATCTTGGAGTGCCATCCATGCCAGCTTGAGCTGCTCTGAGCTGTGTCTCTTGAACACTCCTGGCTTTTCTCCTGTGCCAACCCTGTTTTCCTTGCTCATGTGGTCACCTGGCTCAGATAATGGATAAAAGGCTGTCAGTTCTGGTGGGAGAGGAGGAAATGAGCTGGTGCAGTCGCAGTTCTGGTGGCTCTCTCAGGCTGCTGTGGTGCCACTTGCTTGAGCAGTGGTTTAACGTTGTTGTGAGCCTGTACAAAGCACTCTGCTGTCAGAGGGATGTTCCTGCCACCCCTCTGGCCCTGTGTCCTCACTGCTCTCCTCACAAAACAACTGTGTTGGCACAGATGTTTCTCATCTGAGTCAGATCAGATCTCTGGATGTGTTTGATGTGTGGATCAAAGCTGGCTGTGCGTGGTGGGTGTCTCTGAGCTGCCCAGTGCAGTCCCATGGCTGGGGCTGCCTCTCCTCACCCGTTCCCAGGGCTCCCAGCACAGAGGTGTTGGTGGTGCTGCTGGTGCAGCATGAGCCACTGCTCAGGGCACAAGAGTGCTGCTGACTGCAGATGGACTGTGGGAGCACAGCTTAACTTCTGCTGCTTCTGATTGCCTCTCTTGGTTGATGTTTCATGATGTTGGTGAGGATGGAACAGGAAAGCCTTATAAATATGATTGTCTGGCAAAAGATTTTGAGAATATAGAAACTATAAGCGAGATTGAAATGAAAGCAAGTTTTGAGATCCCTCAGTTACTGAACAACTGGAAAACAATGGTGTGGCTGGCTGAAGGTAGTCCCCTCTTGATGAAACAATACCCTCTGCAAGCAGGCAGGTCCAAGGGTCAGAGCAGACCCTGCAGCTTGGCAGATAGGGCCCAAAGAGTAAGATTTAGGGTTTAAAATGTAACACAGTATGGTAATGTAGTGATTCATATAGGTTGTATGGAAATGTTATAGGATATGCGTGTTGTAGTAGATTGGTTGAAGAGAATCTGAATATTTAACACTGAAGATGATTTATTGTATTGTAACGGGAACTTCGCTCTCTTCCACTTCTCTTTCCTCCCTCTTTCCTCACTCTTCCACTGCTCTTCTCCACTCTTCCTCTTCTCTTTTCGCCCTCACCTCTGCACTTCTTCACCCCCTCCTTTCTACATGCTCTCTGCTCTTAAACCTTTAACTCTCGTACACTTTAAGCCTCTATTCTCTCAGCCCTGCTCCGAGCTGCGGCTGGCAGCTCCCAGCAGGGCCCTGCACCCACGCCCTTTGTGACAAACCGATCGTTTCACGCCTTGGCTGCAGAGATCTCTCGTCCCCGTCCGTCCCGAGCGTGCGTGACCCCGTCTCTCCTACAGACTCTCCCGCAGACGCCCCTGCACACAGCAATGCCAAAATACCCATCCCAAGCTCCTATCACTGCAAAAATCTGGTTAGTTCACGGTCAGCTTGGCTTCCTGATTTCAAATGGCAGTGAGGGGATATATGTAACTGCAGTTGTGCTGGGATTGTTACTGAAAGGAGAGCTGTGTCTAGTTCTGAGAGCACTGCCTGGGAAATTTCCTAGTGGCTTTTCTGTCTGGAACCTGTGGGACAAATGTAGATTTTATGAAGTGACTCTCTGTGTGTATTGACTTTACAAGGATTTGAAATGCACCCCAGCTCCATAGATTTGGAACCTGTATGTGCTGTAATGAAACTGTAAAGTGATACTGTATTTAAGCTAGTGATGCACTAAGGCTCAACCAGTCCTGAACTCGCTGCAAATAAAGGGCATTATAATCTTCATTATCACTGAATTGCATCTTTCAGCTACCAGTTTTGAGTAGTACCTGCAGTAGAAATACCTTATGAATATGAAAGAGGCTGAATTTTTGTCTTCTCAGATGACCAAGGTTTTCCTGGAAGTTTCCTGGTGTCTCTTTTTAACTGCTGTTGAGGTGAAAAAGGGAACAGGGTGAATTGCAGCCATTGCTTCATGAGCAGAATACTTGTAGAACTGTTTTCTACTTACCTGAAGATGTTGTGTAAATGGAAGCAGCTTTCCTGCAAAAATGGTGTAAGCAGAAGTGTGAGGTGAAATCACTTCTCAGGTTTAAGTGTCTAAAATAGACATTTAGTCCTGAACTGAAACTTGCTGTAATCTCTGTAATCAACCTATGTTAAAGCTCGTCTGTGTAAAAGACATACTAAGGTTGAAGAACAACTGTTGGAATCTCTTCTGGATTGTGAAATGTATGAAATGTATATGTGCATCTTGAATTTACAAGGGTCTGGATTGTGATACACAGCCTCAGTTATGCTAACTCATGTCATGGACATTTAAACTAATTGTCTCTTTTTCTTTCTTGTCCCCCCAGGTGTTGTTTGGATTGTAGCATAGAGGCACTATGTACTCAGAGTGGAGATCCTTGCATCTTGTCATTCAAAATGATCAGGGGAATACCAGTGTACTTCACAGCTATCCTGAGAATGTGGGGAGAGAAGTGGCAAATGCAGTGGTGCGTCCTCTTGGACAGGCTTTAATTACATCATCTGTTGGAAGTGAGAGTTTACTAAAAACAGACAAAGAAGTAAGTGCCTTTCCTTGGAGATGATAGTTTCCTTTATGCTGGAGTGACAATTTAATAGTTTTTTATGGCCTCTTTTATTTTTTTCTCTTTATTGTCCCAAGTTTTATGAAGTGTGTTACATTTTTAGTTTAGTGATCTCCATAGGGTTTTTATTAGCAGCTACATCACAGCAACAGTGTACTTCATGTCTTAATAGTAAATGTTTGCCTGAGCTACTATACCACAAAATTCAGGCTAAAGAAAACCAACAAAAAAACCTCAAACCCAAAGAATTTAGCATTTAACACAAAACCTTTCTACTTACCTTCAGTTTTGAAGCAAGTATGTGACTTCAAAAAAAAGTCTTTGTGTAGTACAAGTATTTGTTAGAATTTGAAAATCTTTCACTAACAGCTTTTGTGTGTTCCCAAGAGTGATCTACAGTTTGGATTTAAGAGATTCAGAATTTAGAGAATGTTTTGCCATTTATTCATATTCTTCATAATATCATGGTATATGAGTTAATGGTTTGGTGTTTTCTTGCAGGATATGTTGAACAGAATTGCCCATACACTATAACTACTGTTGCTTTCTTTTTTTTTTTGAGTTAGAACTAATGTGCTCTGACCAGCACTTACTTACAATATTTATTTTTAATAACTTTTGCTTTATGTTTGTTAGGTAAAATGGACTATGGAGGTGGTTTGTTATGGACTGACCCTCCCTTTGGACGGCGATACTGTGAAATACTGTGTGGATGTGTATACAGATTGGATTATGGCTCTTGTGTTACCTAAGGACTCTATTCCTTTACCTGTTATTAAGGAACCAAACCTTTATGTTCAAAGCATTCTCAAACATCTCCAAAATCTCTTTGTACCAAGGTGAGTGTTAGGGATTCCAGGCTGTACTCAGCAGGTAACCTGTCAGAGGACTCATGAGATGTGGAGACTCTTGAGTCAAAAAGGACTGCTAGTGCTGCAAACTTACGAGGAAGGTGTTTCTCCAAATGTCTTGTAATTTTGCACTAGCAAATTGAGTTTTTGCCGCTGTGGTTAGAATGACATATAGTTCATATACTTTAATGTTTACTGCTCCAAGAGGTTCAAGATTTATCTCAATTGAATGACTGGAGGGCAAGGGGAAAAGCAGAAGCGCATCACTGTGTGACCATGTGCTTTTCATTGTGTAAAACTGAGATAAACTAAGAGAACATCATGATAGTCCCTGCCCTTGTTAGTCAAGATTTGACTCATTTGTGATTTACTGAAGGATTTTGTAGTAAGTGACTGCTCTGTGCCTGCATCTTGCTGCCTGTCAAATGAGCATGGTTATGGTGAGTGTCCTTCACTGGTAGTTTTGAAAGAACCTGGTGCTGGAGTGCTTGCTGCCTGCCATCCTTGGATGATGGATCCTTGAGAGATAGACATGTTTCTGGGTCTTGTACACAGCTACGTTGTCAGAGTGCACAAACATCATTGCCTTGTTTATAGTTTATGGCAAGTTTACCTGCTGCTGTTGGACATACGTACTGGATAAGTAAGATTAAAGAGTAGCATCCCCTGAAAAGGTACTTAACTTCAGATCAGTGTTTAGTATATGCCCATAAATATCAGATCATCAGCTTTTATCAGTATTAAATATGTGTCACTGCAGGTGGCCTTCAAAGTGCTCAGCTGCACTTGGGTCACTTTAATAAAGGCTTTGTTTATAAAGGACTTGGAATAGTTATTTGTGCAAATTCAGAGTTCTCTGCTGTTTATTGATTGCTTTGAAGTCTATCACCTACTCTTAGCTGTTGTTGCTCTTAACTTGTAGTGAAAATGCATTTTAATTCCCATTAAAGCATGGTCAAGCCAATGACACAAGTCTGAGGACAGCAAGCTTCTGGATTAGATTGTGGCAGGAGGTTGTCTCTCAGCTTTAATTAGTGCAGAATACAGTCTGCTGTCTGGGATCCTTTGTTGCCTTGGCACAGCAGAGAAGAAATTCTTCACTAGACCATCAAATAGTTGTTTCTGTGATCCCTTGCTTGCTCTCACACCAGGACCCTGGTAGCAGGCAGCTCAGTGGTACAGTTTTCTTGCATGCTGTTGGCACAAGCTTCCACTTTAACTTCTCTCCCAAAATTATGGTTGGACCTTGATGTAGGCTGATACATGTGATAGTTGTTGAATGAAATAGTTAATACCTAGAGATAGGGAGAGCTGAAAAATCATTAGCTATACTGTAGTATAGCTGTTCTGTATGTTTTTCTTTCAAGAGCCTCTGAGATGTATCTGAAACACTGATTTTTCATGGCTGTTGCTATCAACACTTGACATTCAAGTCCCTACTCTCTTTTTAAGTTTTGCCCTCCAGGGTGCTATGTTCAGAATTCACTCCAGCAACAGGAGAAATTTCTATACTGCAAATAGAATATAGAACTGAGTTGTGCACACCTACCTTGAATAAAAGCAAAGATTCAGACTTAGGTGTCTGTGGTGAGGAAGAGGAGAATGATTTCTGGGTTTACCCAATTGATGCAGGTTGCTGCTGATGATGGACTCATGTAGAATACTTACCCAGGAGGTGTTACAGCAACCTGTATTGAACTGTCTCCTGGAAAAATCTGTTCTTGTGTTGAAGATATTAAGTCTTCATTATAAGCCTATGTCCTATAGAAGGCTGTGATTAAAATGGCTTCCTTCCTCATTCTGGTTCTGTGGAAATGATGTAGCTGTTGATTTGGCTGCCTTTAAAGTGGTGGCCCAGAGCTGCAAAGGCATCAGACTCAGATGGTGATATTACAGCGACTTTAGAAGGTCACTGTGGTGAGAGAAGGACGAGAATCTTGTTTCTTGATCAGAAGGCTTGATTTATTGATATAAGATATATAATACATTATAACTATACTAAAAAGAAAAAGAAGAGAAGTTGCAGAGAGCTGCTCAGCTAAGAATAGAATAGAAAGAATGAATAACAAAGTTCTGTGTCCAGAGAATCTGTCTCTGAGCTGCTCCCGTGATTGGCCTTTAATGGTACACAAGGAAGATGAGCCAATCACAGGGGCACCTGCTACATTTCACAGCAGCTGATAACAATTGTTTACATTCTTCTTCTGGGGCTCTGCTTCCCAGAAGATGGACAAATGTGAAAGAAAAGATTTCTATGAAAAAATGTCTGCGACATGGTGACATATGGGTGAGGTGCAAAACACAGCAGCCTGAAGTGGGCAATTCAGTGTAAATGGCATCTCAGGAGCTTGCGTACACCCCTACAGAGCAGGTGCACATAGAATATTCTAGTCTGAGTGCCCAGCTGAATCACATGTTTACATGCACAGTCCTTGAAATTGTGTGGTGCTGAAAAAGAAAACTCTGAAGGCTGGGTGAGCCAAGTTAGCTTTCCTCTATCTGCTGCAGTGACAGGAGAGAGGGTGTTTGCTTCCTTCCCTCCTGCACTGGCCTTCTGTCCACTCTGAAGAAGCAAACACTTTGTTGGTGTATTTGAATAGTCACCAGGCAACCCCCCAGGCTTTCAATTTCTGGCAACCCTAGAATATCCAAGAGGTCTTGAAGATGACTTAAGCAGTAGTGGTTGTTACTGCTGTCAGATAAAGTTTCAGTGCCACAGACACTGTTGGAAGGAAATAGGAGAACTCTCTCTCCCTCTGTTGCCTCTCCAGGAGAGTGCAGTACAGATATCCAGGTCCTCTGCAATAGAAATGTCTGGAATTGCTTGAGAGACCATGGAACATGTGACTGTTAAAGTACTTTTCTTTGTAATTACTTCATATGCTTCTCATATGAAGTCATGGGAACAGTACTGAGGGAGTATGGCCAAAAGGCCACAGTCTGTAGAAATGTAGACATCTAGAAGTCTAGAAATAGTGCAAGCAGAGCTTGCCACTGGGTCAGCTTTGTAAACAAGAGGAAGTCATAGATGGACAGGAATGTTTGAGTTGCCTTTCTTTACAAGATCAGCACAGAAGGATCCCCTTAGCTTGCATATAAGCTCTGGTTTTTTACAGTTTCTCTAAATGATTAGGCAGACAATTCTTGAAGCAGCCTTAGAAGCTTCAAGCCTATATTGTTTAAGGATACCTTTCAACTGAAGCAATCTGCTCTATTATTGCTCAGGCAAAAATAGTGCTGTAAGCAAGGCAGGGTTCCCTTATCCCAAAGTTTGTTATTCTACAGAGACTCTGGGTTACGATCCAGCACTAATATCAAGCAACTCACTGAGGTCCTCAGCTGTGGCTGTTAATGTGCAGTTATGCATTAGGCATTATCTTGTCTCTTTGTAATCTTTTTCTCCAGTGCTGTAATACAACATTATGCTATCAAGACAAAAGCTGATGGTATTTAGCGGACCAGCACATTCTTGAGGTGCTTGCTGTGCAACATGACTTGTGGGTTATACCACCTTGGAAATGTTTGGAAGGAATCTGGTAATACTGCTTACTAGTCCAGTGGAACACAGTACTTGTATGGGTTTTTTGTCATCTCTTCAGTGGTGGTAGGAGGGATCATGAAATGATGTACAGGTTGAAATATGCCTTACTGCACACTCTAATTTCTAATCTCCTCTTTCACCCTTTAAAATTTGGGCTTCCTAAGGTTTTTTACCAATTACCTCAGATACTGTCCAGCATGTGTCACATTGCTGTTTTGTACCTGTTCTGCATTGTCCAGACCAACTGATGGGTGGAGGTGATGCTGCTTTGTGCTGCTTCTGAGCAACTTTGTGTTGAGTGATTCGGCAGTGCCAGTGTGGATCTGATAATGACTACAGGAAAAACCTAGGAGATATGAAACTGTTTCCTTTTATCCTTCCTTACTTCTAACTGCTTACAGAAGATCTAGAAGGGGGTCAGTAAATAGGAACATCAGACTAAAGGTAGAAGTGATAAGAGTTGATTTGGAAACAACAGGAGAACTAGGAAGAATTTAAATTATTTTGCTAACAATATGTTCTCCTAATTTGCCACTTCTGAGTTATGTATATAATAATTCATGATGTTGCAACTAGATTGTCATTGTTTGGCCCAAGATAAATATGAGATGATGGATTGTGTTTGTTCTATCTCTTGAGTCTCACGTGGAAAAAAGCGTTCTTGTGCTCATTAAGGCAGAGTTAGGATGCCTGGAGACAGAGTTGGGGTGCACAGAAGCATATTGGCTCATGTTCTTGGGTTTCACTCAATAATACTTGTTTCCTTTTGTAAGTTGAACATGCTGAAATTTCATGTTACTGAATACATCACTTAATAGTTCTGTTTCTGAGGCATTGTTTTCTTCTCTTGCAGGCCAGACCCAGGATCCAGTCAGATCAGACTGTGCTTGCAGGTTTTGAAAGCTGTCCAGAAGCTGGCGCATGAGTCAACAATTATGGCAAGAGAAACCTGGGAGGTTTTGTTATTATTTCTTCTTCAGATCAATGACACTCTTCTAGCAGCTCCAACTGTGCAAGGTTCATGTTCATCTTCCATTTGGTTCAATTATTAAAAAACTTCTGTCTCTTCTTCGCATTCATCTGTGAGCAGGATGGGGGAACCTATTAAAAGCTCTTAGGAGCTACCAAAGTGCAATAGCTCACTCCTAATTCTGCTCCATTACTCCAAAATAAAGCATTGCCAGAAAAGACTGAATGATTTGGAGCTGAGTTTTCCTGAAAGTATTTTTGCAAGACAGTGACTTTATACATGAACAGTTTGGTATGAACAGTTTAAGACACTGTTGTTTCCTGTTTGTTTCACTGAAACTCCTTTGTTTTGCTGTTCAGCCTGCCTAGTGCAAAAAACCAGTGTTAGTTATTTTAAAAAAAGACTTCAGTATAGACACAGTGCAATAGAAGACTGCCTAAGATTGGTGGATTCCTTCTGTCCCTTATTAACACACATGTGGCTGGGCTTTATCTATTGTACTTGGTCTTGCAAAAAGGCTAATTGGCTGTAGGAAGCAATCAAGGATCATTCTTAAAAGTTATGAAAGAAAAGGCTTAATCTTGATGCACTTTAACTAAAACCTCTTTGGGGAGATATTTGGAGTTATTTAGATGGAACACTAACTGAAGTTGTGCTTGGTTTCTGTTGCAAGGTGGCATTGCTGAGAATCTGGCTGAAAAATTAATTGGCGTGCTGTTTGAGGTCTGGTTACTGGCTTGCACGCGGTGCTTTCCAACACCTCCGTACTGGAAAACTGCCAAAGAGATGGTGGCCAACTGGCGACATCATCCTGCAGTAGTTGAGCAGTGGAGCAAGGTCATCTGTGCCCTTACTTCCAGGTAGGAGAAATCCCATGGAAATAAATGCATGTATGGGGATAGTCATGGTTATACATATTTTGGAGTTGCTTATTTGTGGAATGTGCAGCAATCCAAAAGTGAATAAGCAATACAAAGTGGGAGATCTTGCTGTATCCTTGGATTGTGTGGGTGTTCCTTTGTTCTGCAAGGGGAGATCTGAGTTGGATTCTCTGGTTTTGTGTAAGCATAGCACCTCTGTGATATTTGGCACCTTACGGCGTGTGTGTGTATCAGTCTTCATGATTGTGACTCTTCATCACGTTCCCTGAGGAGTGACTCCAGAATATTGGTACAGCGCTATGTGTGTGTCACCATCAAAAATGATTAGGTGCTTGTTAGTGCTCATGCTGCTGGGCTTGAGGTGACTCTTGGACTCTGCTTGGACCCTGTGGAGCTGAAACTGTATTACAGCTGCCTGGCACTTGTTCCCTGCCAGTGAGGATGTGATGGGCCAGGGGCAGACCACGGGCTCTCTGCTCTAGAGAGCAGGGGAGAAGAGCTGTCCTGAGTCTTGCTGGGTATGGGAACAGTGAGGATCATGTATGATAGAATTGTTTAGGGTGGAAAAGACCTCTAAGATCATCAAATCCAACCATGCACCCAGCACTGCAAAGCCCACCACTAACCCGTGTTCCCAATTGCTGCATCCACAGGTCTTTTAAAACCCTTGGGTGACTCCACCACTGCCCTGGGTAACCTGTGCCAGTGCCTGACAAATTTTCCATCCCATCTGAACTTCCCCTGGCACAACTTGAGGCCACTTCCCTATGTCCTGTCCCTTGTTACCTGCGAGAAGACGCCAACCCTCTGATGGCTCTGGTCTCCTTTCATGTAGTTGTAGAGAAGGAGAAGGTCCCCTCTGAGTCTCCTTTTCTCCAGGCTGAGCCCTCCCAGCTCTCTCAGCTGCTCCTGGTGCTCCAGCCCCTTCCCTGCCCTGTTCCCTTCTCTAGAAATGCTCCAGTCCCTCAGGATTGGAGGTGCCTGAGCAGTGCCCAGCACAGGTGACAGTCACTGCCCTGGTCCTGCTGCCACCCCATGCCTGGTGCAGGCCAGGTGTCAGTGGCCCCTTGCCCACCTGGGCACGCCAGGCTCATGTTCAGCTGCTGTTAAGCAGCACCCCCAGGGCCTTTCCTGCTGGGCATTTTGCAGCCCCTCTGCCCTAAACCTGTAGCTTTGGGATTGTTGTGACCCAAGGGCCTGTCACTTTGCGTTGTTGAACGTTATGGAGTGGCTTCAGCCTCTTGATCCAGCCTGCCCAAATCCCTCTAGAGATCCTTTCCTGTCCTTCAGTAGGTCAGCTCCTGCCCACATCAGTGTCACCTGCAAACTGACCAAAGGAACGCTCACATCTGGGGGTTGCAGGAGTGTTTTGGCTGTAATAGAAGGTTCTGAACAGTGAGGAGAGTTTCAGTACCCTTAATATTGAGGTCTTTTTGGTGTGAAGTCTTTGTGGGACGAATCTCAGACTCTTGGAGGAAAGAACTGAATTAATTGCTTGGAAGAGAGTCATCTGGGTCTCCTTCCAGCTCTCCTGAAATATCAGTAACTTATTTCTGTGAAAGTTCAAAGATGTGTTAAAATTGCTGCATTGTGAAATATTCAATAGTCTTTTTCTGCAAGGGTTTATTATAACTTTGAAAACTTTTCCTTTGAATTACCTGTCAAAATGTGAAGTGTGGATAGATTTTTCCAGGTTATGCAGCTATTTGTTAAACCCCTGGGAAATAAAGCTGCAATACGAGTTCTGTGTATTTCCCACGCTATTTCTTCAGCTATTTTTAGCTTGTTAGATGTAGCATTACATAACGGAAAATACTTTATGATTCAGTGATCTGAAAAGAACAGCTCTGTCTCAAAACATGTGTTGGTGTTCTGCACCACACACTGTGCCTACACTTCCTCTCCCACTGTTGACTAACAGTCCTGGTTCTGTTGGTGCACAGGAGTATGCAGGGTTTCTGGAATGTTTTAGTTTGTGTTCAGTAATGTTGGTTTATGCCTGATCCATGGAAGCCCAGGCTTTTCTGAGGCTAGCTTTAAGTTCAGTGGTATTTTTAGCTGAATTTTTAATCTTTCAATGAAGCTCCAGCTTCAAACAGTTAAAATGTTTTAGTAAACAGTTCTGTGAATCAGGTTATTAGTGATAAGCTGAGAGTAAATATTTCAAATTAAAACCATATGGAAAATTATATTTGGAAATAGGTACACATAAGCAGTGTTAATTTGTGTCCCTGCCTATGATTTTTAGCAGGATGAAACTGGAGTCTCAATTGTATTGCCATGCTAATAGATACTACATCTACCCCATCTAGATTGCTTTAAATATATTTTAACTGTCTTGGATGTGTGGCTTAAAATTTATTTCTGTCTTCAATCATTCTTGAAAATGTCCCACATGTCATTAAAGATTTGGTCATGCTCTTTGAAAAACTGGTTTCTTGCAGTCATAGGGAGAAACGAAGCAGTGCACTGTGTTGCCAGGCAGTGGTGTGAGGTATGACGGTGCATGGGATTGGGCCAGGCTCTTTGGGTCTTTTAGAGCCAGGTAATTCCTCAGCAAAGCTATACCACGAGGTCATGCCTCTGGGCACTAAATGCCGATGGACACAGGGCTGGAGAGCATTTGCTGCCTGGTATAGCTGTGTGAATTTCTGGTTTGAAGGGAACTTCCCGGTCTGACCCATCCCAAGACTCTCTGGCAGTCACTCCTCCACCACCACTGACTTTAACTGCTGGCACTGGAGCCCCTTTGCAGCAGCAGCAGCTCCAGTGAGCTGGGGCGTGCCCTGCTTGACTCCCTGCACTCCCCACTCTCACGGGCACACCAGCTTTCTCAGCAGTTCAACCCCAGGTTTCCCATGGGAGTCTCAGATGTCTTGTTCCATAAAACCCTTTTCCTAGCACAGTAACAGAAAAACAGCTTCAGCTGGTGCGTCCAAGGAGCAGCCCAACAAGGGACTCCTGGGCTTTTATCCCCTCACAGTCCAAGCTTGTGCAAGTCTTGGCTCTTCCTCCCTAGTCCTCAGCTCTTGCATTGTCTGAGCACCTGGCTGGGCCACAAATCCAGTGCCCTTTATTATGCACAGGGTTGGCATTTCCCAGCCTCCCTTGAGGGAGTTCAATCTGCAGCTGTCCCTGCAGCTGCACCACCAGCTCTGGCACTGAATGGGTTCCTCATCATCCTTGCATCTGGAGAAGGCCTCATGTCCTAAAGCTCTTTTGCTTTTCTGTCCAGGTTAGGTACTGTAAATAGGCTCTGATTTCAGACACTTGTGGTAATTGGCTGCTGGTTACTGTAGTACCCACTGCTGGGAGAAGTGGCAGATGGAAGTTCAGCCTGTTTGACTCTTGGTTTAGGAGTCAGTCATAACTACTTTTCTCCTTCTCTTCTCCTAGTTGTAATGACTTTAGAGAACTATATGGCTTTATAAGTAAGGATGAGTGGGACATTTCCTGACTGTTGCAAGGAAGTTAGCTTAGGGAAAGACAAACTGATTTCTGGGAATGCTGTGATATTGAGAAGGTGCAGTGCACATCTCTTCCATTCCTTTAGAAAACATCAAGATTGTGTTTATCAGGGAAATTGAACTGTAATTTGGTGAAGCTGGGTATGAAGCAGGGGTCAGATTAGACAGCAGGAGCTCAGTGAAGGTCACTGGTGATTCTTTGGGTACTTCCAGCGCTTCTAAGCATTGTCCTTATGGTACTGGATCACTGTTTTGCTCGTTGCTGGTCTGTAGATCCTAGCCTCTGGCAGATGTGGTGCCATCTGTTTTGAAGAAATCACTAAACTGTGGCTTGCAAGTCCTGTGCTGCTTGTAGGTCAACAGTGAGTACTGCTCCTGGTGCTGAGGGACAATGTAGGTCATCAGTCATGAGCTGGAATTTAGAGCTGCAACCTAATATGACTTGCTGGTGTCATTGAAAGCTTGAGCTAAAGAGCTGTGAGGATAAGGGCTTCAATTCCTTCTTTAAAAAAAAAAATCCTTCTTCCTTCACATGTAGCATCCTGTCAGATGTACATGTGGCTGTGATAACTGATGACCCCTCTGGCTAAGTTATGGGAAAGCTGCTGGGGGGTCTTGTGGCTTAATAGTTTGGGTTTGGCTGGAGTTTTAGGCAGGTTCCAGGTGCACACTGTCCAAGGCTGAGAGATTGTATAAAATGGGATCTCTAGGAAAACTTGAAACTTGGAGTGTTGCATTGTTGCCTGTGGACTCACCTGTGGGCTGCTGATGCCTTTGGGGCACAAAGGCAATATTCAGTTTTTGAGCCAGGTCTGTCTGACTTGCTTTCTAGGTTGCTGCGTTTTACATACGGACCTTCATTTCCTCCTTTCAAAATTCCCGATGAAGATGCTGGTCTGATTCCTCTGGAAATGGATAATGAGTGCGTTGCACAAACGTGGTTTCGCTTTTTACATATGCTGAGGTATTGTAATTACAGCCATCCATTGTTCCTGGTTTTGAATCAACTCCATACGTTTGCAGGATAAACAAAACATTTCTCTGGAGATTGCCAGGATTAAGCACCTAAATAGAATTAAACGAGAGACTTGTGCCAGTGCCCATGAAGCAGCTCAGGGCAGGCTGTGAATGGTGTTCAGGTTTGAATTCTGACTCTTTCAAAATGTAAACTGGTTCAGCTAATTAAAATCTGGTTTAGCTATTTGGCATTTTGGAGGATCTGAAAAACAGGAGTTCAGTAGAATTTTGTTTCTCTGAGATAACAAACAGGAAAAGCTGAACAATAGATCTGGGAGATGCTTACGACTTTCATTTATTCTCCAGGTTAAATTTAACTTACAATTTATTTTTAAAATTAGTGTTTATATATTTATTTTTATGAAGAAATCTATACACTTAATTTTACCATACATGTTAATTTTAAATGCACAGTTGAACCAAATGCTGCGTTTTGTTTTACAGACTTTTGGACATGGCATTACATTAATGCTCTCAATGGCCTGAATATTAAAAAATTGATACTAAATACTATTTAGTAGTTAAAGCTAGATAAACATTAGGCTGTTTGAAATTTACATCTTAACTGACTAAAAAACCCTCTTTCTTCATTTGTAGTACAAATGTCACAAGTACTGTACTCTTCAAATTTGGAGTTTACAAATTTGCTGTTTCAGGATTTTGAGTCAGTCAGGAAAAATTGCTCAAACTTTTACAATTTACTTCCCTTCTTGTCACTGTTTGACAGTATTTAATTTGTTGCTTACACTTATAACTTTAACAATATAAGCAACTCTTCACTGGGCTCAAAAACCTCATAAGTAATTATTATTTCTGCAATAATTAGTCTGGCAAGTGTGTGGTCTGGTTTGTTTTATTTTACTACGATTGTTCAATATGTTTGGGTAATGTTTGACATTAAGACAGCTATATACTGCCAACCCAGGAAGAGACAATTGCCTTCCTGTGAGGAGAGGCTAAAATGTATTGATATTGGATGCTGGTTTGTGGTGTTACTGGAATGCCTTAAACTACTGCATCTTCAAGTGGTTTTAAATCTTAACAGCTGTTCTTAAACTAACATATATTTTGCTCTTTTTCTGTGCAGTAATCCTGTGGATTTGAGTAACCCAGCCATTATTAGCTCTACCCCCAGATTTCAGGAGCAGTTTCTGAATGTGAGTGGGATGACTCAAGAACTGAATCAGTACCCCTGCCTTAAACATCTGCCTCAAATATTCTTTCGTGCCATGCGTGGAATCAGCTGTTTAGTGGATGCATTCCTAGGTAATGCTTTTCTCTTGCCCATGGATTGCTAGAAATATTAATTTAATAATTATTTTAGTATCTGTAAATCTGTTTTCTCTGTAAATACATGAATAACAATTAATCTTTTGCAAGTGTATCCTGGAACTGATGAGGAGGAGACTTGAGATCACCACTAAAAAATCTGTATGCACAACAGTAACATTTGAATGCATGAAGTTGTAGATAGCCTTAGTTTCAAATGCAAAACAAATAAATTGGAAATATAAAATAAAACCAGAGATCTCTTTCCCAAACAAGGCTTCTTTTCTCTTTCCATCTAATCACCAGTGCAAGTGCTATGCTTTAGCATGTTGTGAGCACTCACCACCGTGTTTCTAATCTTTGTGGCAACTGCTGTGTGCCTGTTTTATAAGGTGTTGAGTTTGGACTGTCATCTTCAGATCTTTTGAAGTTCCCCTTAGTGTACGGTTAGTGGCTTACTGCTGCTGCTGAGTAGAAAAGATGTGTTTCTTTGTGTCTGTTGGTAACTGAGTAGCTCTAGCTGGTCAGTTTTAAGTAACAATATGGAGTACCTGAAATTTAAAGCATTATACTTAGTATGCTTCAGACTTACTGTAAGTTCTTCAGGGAATACATGCTCTTGTAAACTTGGAAGAGCTGCTTTTCTCCAGCTGCTTTTCTCCTTAAATGTGCACAAACAAATGTCATCTGCCAAGTGTGAGCTGATGAGAGATTGCAGGAGACTAGAGCAGACACATAAACAGAATTAGAAAAAACCTGCTGGTGGAATGAGACCATCAGCCTGGAGAAGAGCAGGCTCTGGGGGCACAGAGTGCAGGGTTAGACTGGATGTTGGGAGGAAATTCTTCCCTGTGAGGGTTCATGAGGCCCCGGCACAGGGCCCAGAGGAGCTGTGGCTGCCCCTGGATCCCTGGAAGTGTCCCAGGCCAGGCTGGACTGGACTCAGAAGAACATGGTCTAGTGGAGGTGTCCATGCCTGTGACTGGAATGGAATGGAGGGTCTGTAAGGTCCCTTTGAACCCAAACTATTCTGTGGTTTTATGAATCAGGCACTTAAGACTCCTGAAGATCTTGTAGCAAGATAAAGCACCCAGAGTGATAATAGCCTATCTGGAGTGCAGAGATGGAGACTACAATGCATTGGGGCACAGGAAGTTTCTTTTAGAAAATTAAATTCAGGCTGTAGGTATGGATTGGGAGAGTGTGCTCAGGCAGACTTGAGAGCTGCAGAAAGATCTTCAGAGAAGGCTGGTGGGAGAGCTCATTACCTTCTGTCACAAGTGCTAAAACTGGATTTTATCTTGCTCTCCCTGGTACCTACATGATGTCTTTGGCAAAATAGTACATCCTCTTTTCCAGCCAAATGTACCAAAACAATGGGTTTCATAGTGCATGCTCTGCCTGGGCTGTAACACTGATGATTTTGCAGGAGCAAATTGTTCTATAATGTGCTATGAGAAGTACTTGGGTGCTTTAATTAACAGGGCCAAAAAAAAAATCTGTGTCAAATTCCCAAGCAAACTGTGGTTCCCCACTTCATTTTTCAAATGGGGCACAAGGTTGTTGGAATTCATTAAAATGGGAAAAATGGTGTTTGTCCCTTCCAGTTTTGCATATGATGAGTTGCTTCTGATTATGATGGGGAAGAGCTCTGTACACCATGAATTTCCCTGAAGCTGGACTAAAAACTGATCTCATGTCCTGCTGCTGAGAGAAAACTCACAGTTTGCTGTGCTTTCTTACTCTGTCTTGTGTACTGCCTTTGTATTTGAGTGTTCAGCAGCCAGTCCAGCTCAAACCGAGCAGAAAGCTGTGTGGTGGATGGGTTTCATCTTAATTTAGTGAGCTAAGATGGCTTTAAGGGCCAGACATCTTAGAGATGTCTCAGGAAAAGGTGTGGGAGTTATGGTTGGGAAAGAAAGGCAAAGGTGAGAGGCACCTGAATTTTGGCAGAAGTGAGCTGTGAAGTTGTCTTTGGCAAATGAACCTTGCTCCTTTCCCTCTGCCTGCTTCTAGTCTGATTCTTCCCATCTGTCATTGGTGCAGATGGGTCCTTTGGTGTTTTTTAATCAATTGCTTATCTGATGTAATTACTGTTTCCATTTGCTTGTGCATTTATTTCTGCTAACAGTAAAATGGGGAGAGGTGTTTTTGTTGCTGCTGCAGTTTTGGGGAGCATGGGAGGCATGGCTGTTGACCAGAGGCTCCTGTGCCTACTAAGGCCTGCTGTGTGTGAGCCCATGGAGCTGTTGCTGAAAGCCTGCTTTATTCCTGGCCTTGCAGGCATTTCCCGACCCCGGGCAGACAGCGCCCCGCCCACGCCAGTGAACAGGCTGAGCATGCCCCAAAGCACCGCTACCAACACCACTCCGCCCCACAACCGGCGGCACCGCGCCGTGACCGTCAACAAAGTGACCATGAAAACCAGCACTGTAAGATTTCATACTCTGTGTTGGAGTAGCTGAGCCTTTGGATTCTTTCCTTGATTCTAGGAGCTGATCTGTTCTTCTGTTCAAACAGGTAACTACTGCACATGCTTCCAAAGTGCAGCACCAACCCTCTTCTACTTCTCCACTCTCTAGCCCAAACCAGACAAGCTCTGAGCCTCGGCCGCTGCCAGCTCCTCGCAGGCCAAAGGTTAACAGCATCTTGAACCTCTTTGGATCGTGGTTGTTTGATGCAGCATTTGTTCACTGTAAACTTCATAATGGAATAAACAGAGACAGCAGCATGACTGGTAAATATTACAAAAAATATATGTATACTTTTTCCCTTGTTTTCTTGACATTTCTTACCTTCAAGATTAACACATGCATAATCCAAAAAAAAGTAAAATCTGAAGTGCTCTGTTGTAATTAATCCGTTGAGCTGAGCCAGCATCTGCTATTAGCTGAGCAGCTGTTTGGGGATTTCAAAGTTTAAAAAAGTCTACTTTTTTACTATTAAATACTCCTTTGCTCTAACAAGCATGGCACTTGCAATTGTGATATTGAGGAAAATGCTGTTAAGTGAAGGAAATCATATGGTAGGAGTCCACTTCTTAGTTTGAAATCTTGATTATCTATGATTAATAGCAATTATTTACATCAACTCTTTAATATTTGAAAAATTGTCCTATATTACTCCACATAGTGCACAAAGCAGTACTTGTTGGTTTTGTAGAGTGTTACAGTAACAGAAGTAACAGAAGTCCTCTAAAATAGCCAGTGAACTTGCTATTTGAACTCACATTTATGATTGGTGTGTGCTTCCCTTAATGTCTTCATATCTTCGTTGTCTTCAACCCTTAACTGCCAAACTTATTTTGGCTCTCAGCTTTGCTCAGCTGCAGAGGTTAGATGTTTTGGGATATCATTAGAATTAGTGCTCTGCTCAGAGAGGCTTTTTAGCTCTTATCTTACTTTTGGTGATAATACTCAGAAAAGAATAATCTTTCTCACTCCCTTCAGTTTTCCTGTTCCTTGTGTATTTTGAATGTCTGCTAACTTTTCTGAGAGATCTATTAATTAATCTGTCAGTAACTCACTGGCCTAAGGAAAAGAGGGGAAAACCATTTGTTATAGCAAGTTGGATGTATAGTGGGACTTGACAGAAGCAGTTGAACTGGTGATCTTCCTTGTTTATTGTGTCAAATTCCTGTGTGAATGCTTAGGTTTTGGGATCTTCTAAAGGTGTTTTTAGGTATGTAGCACATCATTTTTTGAAAGTGTTCTTTGTGGGTGTCTGTGGTAGGAGTTTGGAATCTCTTTGTAAAAGGCCTGTGATTCGTGATGGGGAAGCAGCTGAGCTTAGGAGGGAGCAAGGCATCCTTTGAGGGTGTGTTGGGTTACAGATGCATTTAGTGTATTACTACATTTAGTGCTTTTCAGATTGATTAGAGCATTTTAAATTTGACATGTAACCTGTTTTTTGAGCGATAATAATGAAATACTTAACCTGTAAAGGAAGGATATCAGCTTAGATGGTGCTTATACAAAAGTGTCAGCTTTAAACAGAAATGTTGTTATGCTGGCAGAAGTACACAGTTGTCTGTAATCCAAAGGCTTCATTTCCTTGAAGGGGTTACAAGGCCTTCTGTTCATATATGCAATGTCTAAAATCATTTAAAAGCAATCAGAAAGTTGTTGTGTTATTTGTCTTACAGGGATATTTACTGTCTTTCTGAAAACTGGAGACAGCTGTTTGGAACTGAGTTAACTCTGTTCCTCCTCTGTGCTCTTCCAAGCTGTCTGTAGCGAGACCAGTCTTTGCACATCGCATGATCTGCTGTGTATTAGCAGCAGTGGTTCTGACACAAGATGTTGGTGGACTCCCAGGAACCTAGCTGTGTCATGTTCTGCTCTTTCAGCAATTTGGAAGACAGAATTAACTTGCAGGAATTTAGTCAAGTGTCTGCTGCCCTTGCAGGGTGTTGTTAGTGCTAGGTAAGATCACTGGTCACAGTGGTGCCAAGATGGGCTGGCTGAAGGAGAGAGAACTGAGTGTGGACCCCTATTTCTGAAATGCTGTAGGGAGGCACCAAACTCTGATTGCCTGATTTATTATTTTGCTCAGCCTCTGCTTAAGGTGGGAGAATGAGTAAGATGCGTAAAGGGCCAGGCCCCTGGAGTTTCTGCTTGAAGCATCAATGTCTTTTGAAAGAGGTTTAAATCCACATCATAAACTTTTTATTCTGGGAATCTGACCTGTGATGCCTGATGCCTCCAAGTGAAACCTTTTCCTCCCTGAAGAGCATAAGGCAAGAGGTGCTGTGCTGGCTGATGAGTGGGCCAGGAGGGGTCTGTGTTAAGGCCCCGCCCATGGCAGAAGTGGGACTCATCAGTGACAATCAGAGCTGCACATTGTGCCCATCCCTCTGCTCCTGCTGCCCAATGTAGATGCAGCTTGGAGGAGGAGGGCCAGTAGAGAAGGGACAGTTATCTGCCACAGTCCCTACTCTTAGGGAAGATGTCCAGAATAAATCTGATGCTTTACAGCTCCAGTTTGGCTATTCCTGTATGTTTTGGTCCATCTGCTATCCTTTGTAGCCATGACACTTCAACTACTACCTGGAATGTTCTTCCCATGTCTGACACTGCTGTTGATATTCTTAGCATTTGCTTCAAGAAGCAGTGTTATTTTTGTGGGTGCTTCAACTGTTTTGATTGGGAATTGTCTGCACTTAAAATTAGCTTTGCCATGTATTGTATTGTCTTCCACTGGCCCACACACACTATTTTTCTTCAAGTCTGGAACTGCAGCAGTGTAAGAACTCAGCAGCTTTAAACCCTTCTAATATTTACTTTGTTTCAATGCCATGCAGTTAAGAATTCTTTCTCTTTTGGCTGACTGATATGGTTTCTTTGTTACATTACTGGCTGGAGGACTGAGAACCATTTTGCAGAAGTATTACAACTTGCTCCTTGGTCCTTTAGAGGCCTCTGTGCCTTGGGGCACTTCTGGAACGCTGCATTTTTTAGTGTGTGTTTCTCTCTCCTCTCCCATCGCGTGGCACAGTCTCAGTGAGAATCCCTGTGATGTGATTGCCAGAGAGATTAATGAGCTCAGTGCAGTGCCTTCCAGGGGCCCTGTGGATGAGCTGTGGTCTCAAGCTCTAGTTCAGAATTTAGTTTGGTTCTTTTAAACAAATCCTGCTGACACACATTGTTCTTGTCCCATCTTACTGCACACCTTTTTGATGAGCTCTAGGAAATAAAGTGCACTTGATCAAGGCTGGTGCGAATGATTACTCCTCTACCCTTCCTTTTTCCCTTGTCCCAAGATCTCACCTTTTCCCACTGGAACTCTTTAACCTCCGGAAGGGAAGTAATGAAAAGTGATGGGTGGAAAAAATGTCAAACTTTTTGTAAGTCTTGAGATAAAAAGCTGTCTAGATGTGTAGAAGGGTAACTGAACTTCCTGTACTTGGCCCTGCTTTGCAGGGGAGAGCTGACTGTCTCCAGAGGCCCCTTCAGCCTCAACTCTCCTGATTCTGTCAGGTTAACTGCTGCTTCATGGATTTTCAATTTGTCATCTCATGGGTGAACTCTTTGTACCAACTCTTGATTGGAAAACTGTAGGTATTCCACATTTGTGATTGTTCTGATTTTGTCTGTCTTTGGGAAGAGAGAATTGTTCTCTCTCAAGATTAGCTGCAAGTTATCTGTATACAGTTTGCTGCTGGTGGAGCTTATCACCTGGAAAGCAGTTGTCCTCTTTGCTCTTTGAGCCCTGTCCTTCAAGGTAGCCCTGTGTCATTGTTTGGATTCTGAAGCAGAGCAATGATCTTGCCATGATTGTCATGACACTTTTGGGTCTTGGATGTCCTTATCAGGTTTTAGTTTCTGCACACAGACTTTATTGGTGAAGCTTTTTGGTGGGCAGCTGATAATCATCACTGTGTTGTGGTGAGAGAGTAAAAATGGCTGGTTGAAAGATGCCTAGGTGGTTTGAAAGCAGCTGGGTCCTGCTGGTGTAGTTGTTAGAATTAGATGGGTGTGTGGCATTTATGTAGCTGTTAGTGTGGGATAAATAGATCCCTATGATAAATAACACCTTCATAAGAGATTGGCTACAGAGCCTCTATGAGGGTAACCCAAGAATGACAGCTTGGTGTGTGTATCTGTGCCAGGGCAGGTTCAGTGGCAGGATGTGTTTCAGACAAGCTTAACTGTGTGGTGCATGCTACTGCTACCTACTGTCCTCAGCCTCTGAGAGTGGGGAGAGCTCACCAGCACTTTGTGCCAGCATTTCAGCAACTGCATCTGCCAGTCTGATGGGCTCATTCTCAATCCTTGGCCCTAAAGGATGTCAGCTCTGCACTTTATAGCAGCTGAAGGACACACCTCAGGGCTTGCTGGTATTGCTCTGGGGTACATCATTACCCTCACCTCTTCTGGCCCTACTGTCATTAATGTCCCACAGAATGTTTCTGGGGCTCTAGAAGAAAATTCTAAACAGACCTGTGTGGGATCATAGTGAGTGTTGCTGAGGGTCTTGGTTACAGGTCTGACCCTACCTGTTGAGATAAGTAGCTCTCCCCAGATGGTGAGTAGTACCTGGCTGCTGGAGTTCTTACTCGCCTCTTTCTCTGGGCATTGTTTGACATGTTAATATTTCTGGGAGTGTTCTACCTTTTATTTTTGCTTTGGAAGATTGTTCATGAAGCTGGTGGTCAGGGGAGCATGCTCAGGTATTCTGGTTGTTAGCAACTTGGCTTAGGGAAATAGGAGCTGTGCTGCCGTTGAGAACTGCTGGTTTGGAAGGAGGAGTGCTGCTGGGAGGAGGTTGCAGGTAAGTAATGTTCCCTCTGCGAGACATTCTGCATTTCAGAGGAGCCTTAGGACAGCCTGGTGTGTGCTCCAGGGCACTGCAGCATGGGGACAGTGTGTGAGCTGACAAGGGTTAATACCTTCTGGTAAAGAACTGGTGTATCTTGATATGAACAGCTCTAAATATTAGTAGTATTTTGTAACTTTTTGTTCATTGTTTTGCATGATACTTTCAAAACCATAATTTTGGACCTGTATGCCAATTTCCTATGTGTTTAACAAGCTTGCTGTATCATAAAGCTTTTAATCTATTTTTTAGAAAGCTAAAAGCTTCTTAACTTATATTACAATTTCACCATCTTAAAAGTATTTTATAACTACTGCTGTCCTTTGATTTGTTTCCATTTTATTTCTATTATCTTGCAGCATCTTTTATCCAAATTCTTCTTTCTTATAAATCTTGTAAGTAGGAACCAGTAGCTTTTCCTTAATTGCGGTCATGCTTTTCTTTTTCCATAATCCCATATTTTATTTGTAAATTCATTCTCATTGTCTCTTGTAGCTTTTGCACTTTTACTTGAAAAAGACAAGTAATTTTTTTTGTGTGTGTTTTTGAATGGGGAGGATTGTTGGCAAAAGCAAATTAATCTGCCTGAATCAGACCCATCTTTTCTGTACTTTAGTCTGTGATCATGTCATGAATTTCAGGACTTTGCACTAACCATGTTTTTTTTACTTAAAGCTTATTTTACAGACCTAGTGTTTGATTTGTATGCATTGTGCATGTAGTGTTTTTTTCCAACTACAGTATATTGCTGGATAGCTTATTTAGGACAAAAAATGGCTCATGGGAAGATGCATAAAGATTTGTACTTATTTTCTACTTAATGCCAATGAAAATTTATGAGGTAAACATAGGTTAAACGATAAATTTCAGAACAAAAAATTAGGAGTAGGCACTTAAGACATTTCCTTTAAAACGAAACAAAAAAGCACCCTATCTGTAAATTATTGGTATTCCAACTGCTAAAGTGTTAACATGCCTTTGTTTGCAAAGCTGACTGTGAACCTGCTGTTCCCCAGTGTCCCAGAGCTGAGACAGGAGAAGTTCTCTTTCGCTGGTAGAAACACATAGGTGTAATTATGTCAGGAATACACATTGTCTGCTGTTTGCTCTTGTAGTTTATAAAAGTTTTGGAAAACCATTTAGTCTTAGCTAAAAACAAGAACACAGTCTTTAAGATGTTAGTAATCCTAGAGCAAAGCTGTCCAAGGAAGAGGAAAAACAATTGAAAAAAAATCACATTGAGTGTAGTATATATTTTGTTTTGGTAGCTATCCTGGAAGACAGGATGTAGGCAACAGAGCAAGTACTCTTGTATCCACACAATGCTGATGTGTGAAAGGGAGACCAGAAATCTCTCCGGAAAGACATGGATTGGAGTGGTGTGCACTGGCAGAGCTGGCCTGCAGGGAGGGAGCACAGAGCTGGGCAGAACCAGGTCAGGACCCTCTGAGAGGGTCATAGAGCTTCTGTAGGGTAAGGGAGCAGGAGATGGCCAGCCCATGGTGGCTGCTCTATGGAGGCTCTGTAATTTATTTGGCAGTTTCAGTGATCATGTGAGGAGAGGGACCAAATTAGGAGAATGGGATTCCGCAACCTTCTCTTTGTCATACGGTGCATTAAAATTTTTGATTATTTTTTAAAAAGTATCTTTGTACAACAAAACTGGATGAAAGCCGCTGGGTATTCAGGGCAGCATGAGATGAGTTGGCCGGCTGGAAGCGAAGCACTTCCTTGGAGGTCAATAGTAATGGCACCATCGAAATTTTTTTTGTTTGTTTTTTAAGGGAGAGAGGGAAGGTGGCATTTAATTTTTTTGGGGACCAGAACCAGGTGAGGCAGACCCTTGCCCTTTGAGAGAGGGTAGGAAACTAGTATTGGATATAAGCGCTCTCTTCCCAGCAAAAAGTTGGGACAGTCTCTAGGATATGAAGGTCAATTGTTGTCATCCTTATGAAGTAAACAAGTTAGGTACACCCACAAATATTTCCTAAACAGAGGCACTGGCTCAAATGCAGTGAACTAATAGCTTCATATTAACTACTAAATTGGACTTGATCTTTGTGTCCAGGATCCCATGAGCCTATTCTGTACATTATCACACACAGTGAAACGCTGTTTTTTCTCTTCCCAGCTATAGCAACGCAGGCTAGTGTGGAGTTCCGCCGGAAAGGATCCCAAATGTCCACTGACACTATGGCTTCCAACCCCATGTTTGATGCAAGTGAATTCCCAGACAACTATGAAGCAGGAAGGGCAGAGGCGTGCGGGACACTGTGTAGGATATTTTGTAGCAAGAAGACTGGGGAGGAAATATTACCAGCTTACCTATCCCGGTACTAACCTATCTTCCAGTTGCTTTATTGGTGTAACTTTATGATGCAGACTAATTCCCAGTGAATAGCATTCACTTGCTGTCTGAATCTTGTGTTGCCAGTTTAAAAACATCTAGCTGGCTTACAGAGGCTGGAGGTGGAATTCCTGGCTAAGCCCAGCACTGTTTTCTTCTCACATTTTCATGATGCTGCTTTTCACTGGGTTTTCTTCAAGTTTCAGTTGAAGGACAGTACCTCAAAGTGCTTCAAGCTGGAAGGAACATTTTCTTTGGCATTTTCTTGCCTCCTGTATTTTATTTTTGTTGAGTTTGTCACTGAATATTGTTCAGATGAAAAAAATAAGTGTGCAGGCATAAGACTTTGTACATTTGCTTAGACCGTAAAGGTTCTTATGCTGTCATATACCACATTGCTGGGTTTGGTTTTTTGTAGTCGCTTTTTTTTTTCACCCTCTGAGTATTGAAATGCAGTGATATCCCATTATTTGAAACAGTTGTGTTTGAATTACCTCTATGTTCAGTTTTATTTCTGAGAAAATGAAGCAGTATAGCCTGTCATAGTATACCTTTTTCACAATTTTTTGTTATGTAAAATAGCAAATGCTAGAGGCAGAGAATCAGTTATAAATAATGATTCTCTCAAACTTTTTAAGTACATTTGTCCCACATGGCATTAAAACTTCCCAGAACACTGAACAATTTTATTTCTTTGATGTTGTATTTTTTGTATAGATAGTTCATATTTCCTTGGCCAGTCAGTGGGATTCCTCTGTGTCTGCAAGACCTGTGAAACAGTTAAGAGGGCATAATGTTCTCTTACAAGAACCTGCAAAAGAAGCTAACTGGGTAGCTGGGTTTCTGCCCTTGCTTTTTCATTTGAAGTGGTTATGATGGTTAAGATTAGTCTTGATTTCCAAATTGCTGATCAGTGTGTCTTGTCCTGACATTCTGTCCATTGTTCTGTCCACTGCCTCCCCCAAGATTTCACAGTATTTTTCTTGTCTTGGGGAGTTAAAATCAAGATCTTGCTCCCGCCATTACATGGGAAGGGAGTAGTGGAGAGCAGGTGATCCACTCTTAGTAACCAGCTGGTTGTGCTTACTCAGCTCCCAGTCTGGGTGTTGCAACAAGTCAAAGATTTCAGTAAAACTGTGCTGCACTAGCTTTTCATATGGAATACTTGTCATTTGTGAGGGTTTATTATGCTGGTCAGGTGTGCTTGCCTGTGCTTAAGTAACATAGGGGAAGATTTATATGAACATTTCCTAGCTCTGTTTTTGAAACTTACTCTGTTTTATATAGACAAGATCAAATAGTGGCTGCAGAATCATGTGGGATTCTGATGATTTTATGTGCAAATAATTAAATCTTATCTTTCTTTGTCAGATTTTACATGCTTTTAATTCAGGGTTTGCAGATAGCAGATTTCATTTGCCACCCGGTTCTTGCCAGTGTTATTCTAAACTCCCCTCCTCTGTTCTGCTGTGACCTGAAAGGCATTGATGTTGTGGTTCCCTACTTCATTTCGGCTCTGGAGACTATTTTACCTGACAGGTAAATTGCCATTTCCACATAAACATTATCAGAGATGTTGAGAGGTATTTGTCTTTTGTCATTCCTGCATGATTTCACCAAAGGATTTCTGCGATGTCGGGCCCACAGTGTGTGTGTATTCAATGGTAATAATAGCAACACTGTGTGAGCTCAAATGTTCAGTTTTCTTTAATGCAGTTTTCTTTAAAGCAATAACAGTTCTTATTTTAAATTAAATAGATGAGTTGTTAGCTGCATATTCTTTGATGCAAAGCAGTGCCTTTAAGAATAGGAAAATATATTGAAATATGTCAAAAATATATTGAAAGCCTATTGATTTTAAAGTAAACTTTAACAAGATATTCATTAGTGGCTGTTGTTGCAGTGTACTCAATAAGTAAATAATCTTATGCATCATTTAATGGAAAAGTTGATAGACTGATGAAGTTGGAGTAGGTACTTATCAGAGCTTTATAGATTTCTGAATGTTTTGCTAAGTTAGGCACTTAATAGTCTCTGCATGTCTTCAATGTATGTGTTATGTCTTGGTACCATGTTTCATTTTGGTGTTAGGCATTTAGACAAAAAGCATTCTTTATCTCCTGGGCTTAAATCTGAGCTGCTGCTTCTTTTGGATAGGTCTTAGAAAGAACCAGCTACATTGCATACTGCAAATTACTTAAGACCGTTGGGTGGGTGTATATTTGATATTAACTTTGTTGCATTTGGCTCCAGATTCTTGTGAAAAGTTGGTTAACTGTCTGATGCTTGATTTGCAGGGAACTCTCAAAGTTTAAAATCTATGTAAACCCCACAGAGCTAAGAAGAGCTTCTATTAACATCTTGCTGTCTCTGTTGCCTCTCCCTCATCATTTTGGAACAATAAAGTCTGAGGTAGGACATTTATCACTATGTTTTGTGTTCCATTTTTCTTTCCCTGGGAGTGGGATTTGAATGGGTTGTGGGTTGTATTGAGTGTTTTGTTTAGCACTGGAACTCTTCCACTGAATGTGAAACAGTAAGACCATATTGCAGTGTGTCAGTAGCAATGTGTGCTGAGAACATTGGCTTTTAAAACCCTGCTGACATGATCTTTAATTGATACTGAAATAAGTGTATTTTTTCTTCAGGTTGTCCTGGAAGGGAAATTCAGCAATGATGAAAGCTCAGCGTATGATAAACCAGTAACATTCCTGTCCTTGAAGCTGAGGCTTGTGAACATCCTTATAGGAGCTTTGCAAACGGAAACTGATCCCAACAACACTCAAATGATACTAGGTTATTTCAGCTTTTTGATTTATTAACTGTACTATAGAAATGTCTGTCTTAATCTGTTCTGGGATAATATGGGTTATTAGTGATGTGTTGCTTTGCAAGAAGAAGGTTTAAATTCCTGGCAGGTTGTCATATGTGTAATCTCCCTCATACTATGAAAATATCTTAAAAAGCCTCTCATTTTTGTTAATCTCTCCCTTTTTATGTGGAGTAGTACTTGAAAAGTAGAAGCAAGAGTGAAGCAAATTCTAGCACAGAAAGTCAGCCATAACTGGAAATGGAAGTAGGTAAAAATGTCGTGATTTTAGGAATGATTCCTGATTAATGGATTTCAGAGAAAACCTTAGGTTTTGGCATGGTTAAGCCTAAGAAACATATTGACATTTTGATGACTGGTGATCCAGCAAAATTGGCAAAATACAGATGGCATTTTTTTAGTGGTGTGTAAATCCTCAGAGAGAATCCAAAAGTTTTGGAATAGAGTGTGGAGCTGCACTATGCACAGTTTAGCACATTTTTCTTCAAAGTAGTGAGTGGATTAACATTATGCTGAATACTCAGAAAGGAAGCAGAAGATGAAAACTTGGATAGTGCATAATCTGTCAAGTTAAGTATGTTTTCAGATAAGTACAAATGTACATGCCTATTATTCTTACTTGTCCCCCCTTATTATTCTCTTTTTAGAAGTAGTTTTTTCAGCATGATGGTGTTCTTGCCCTTACCACTTTCCTTTTGTCTGTTTAAAAAGGCAACAGTCTGGTGGTGTGATAGGAGTGTCTGCCTTGTTCTGGGAGGCAGATAGTTTACCTGCTTTACAGGGGAGGGCAAGAAAATTATGCATAGCTAAAGGAAAGGAAACAAATCCAAGTCTGCAAAGACTTCTGGAAGGTTATCTTCCAATAGTTCAAGCAGTTTCTTTTCTTGCAGAAGACTAGAGGAGAGTGATTTGAAAGAATAATTTGCACCCAGTGCTTGTGAAGGGGTGAGAATATCTGTGGTTGCCAAGTGAGACTCTCAGAGCATTGGTGCCCCTGAGGTTGTCCCACCTCCAGTACTATGTCTGACACCTCAGGGTGATGCTTTGCTAAATCCCACCCCAGTGGTCCTATGCCCCTCCACACTGAGTTGGTCTGCAGCCAGCTGAATAGCTGCTCTACCTGGAATGGCTTTTTCCTGGGAATTATTATTCCCATGCTAGTCCCTGCCAGTTCACCTGCCCTGTAATCTTCATCTTAAGATCCTTTTTCCATATGTGAAGTTATTTCCTGCTGGATTTAGCTGGAGGGGATTCATGAGTCTCCACTTTAGCCAGAAATTCTGACATGTGCCACCAGCTTCTCAAAAAAAGCAGGGTTTGTTTCCATCTGCCAATAAATGTTTAGCAGCAAGTGGTGCATTTCATAGAATCACAGAGTGATTTGGGTTGGGAAAAACCCTTAAAGCTCCTGTTGTTCCACCATGCATTCCGCCCCCATTCCCTGGGCAGGGACACCTTCCCCTAGCCCAGGCTGCTCCAAGCCCTGTCCAGCCTGGCCTTGGACCATTCCAGGGATGGGGCAGCCACAGCTCCTCTGGGCAGCCTGTGTCAGGGCCTCCCCACCCACACAGGAAAGAATTTCTGGCCATCATCCCACTTCACCTTGCCCTCTCTCAGTGTGAAAACATTCCCCCTTGTCCTGTCATTTCCCTTCACAGAGTAAGTTGTGTTTTCCTAAATGTTCATTGATGGATGAGACAGGGGAAGGAGGCAGAAAATTTAAACTGAAGCCACCAAATATGCCAGTGTCAGCCAGTTTCAGGTCCATGTCCTTATTGCTTCCCTTGTCATCTGGAGGGGATGCTTCCAAGCAAGTAACCTGAGTTGTTAAATGAGCACAGTCTGATGTGAGACAAGGAACCACTCCAGCCCTTCTGTGAAGCCAAAATCCTTCCAAACTGAGGAATTTGACAGACCTATCACAGAACAGTTGGGGCTGGAGGAGAGCTCTGGATATCATTCAGTCTAACTCTCTGCCAAGGCAGAGTCAGCAGGAGCAGGTGACACAAGAACCTGTCCAGGTGGGTTTTGAATGTCCTCAGAGAGGGAGGCTCCATGACCTCCCTGGGCAGCCTCTTCCAGTGCTTTGCCACCCTCCATGGATGGAACATTTTCCTCATGTCAAGGTAGAACTTCTTGTATTTTAGTTTGTGCATTACTCCTTGTCCTGTTGCTGGGTACCACTAAACAGAGTTTGGCACTATCCTCTGGACACCCACCTTGAGATATTGATGTGTAATGACGAGATCCCCTCTCAGTCTTTTTTAGATTCTCTTCAAGGCATTTTTAACATAGCTGAAACTACACTCTCTCTCAAATTTCATCTGCTTCAAATGGCTAAGCTCAAAGCAAGTCCTGTGTTTTAATAAGAGATTTTATAAGACAGGACTGCAAACCTCTACTTTACTCACCTTCTGTGCTGCTTGGTGACTTTTAGTAGTGAATTCTTCTGTAGTCCATAGTTACCTTCTTCTGTCTGATTCTGCAGGTGCAATGTTAAATATTGTTCAGGATTCAGCACTGCTAGAAGCCATTGGCTGTCAGATGGAAACAGTGAGTATTTCTGTTTATGAAGTTACTTCTTCAGAAAGAATGCATTCCTCACTTGTTACTGGCAGGGTCTGGGGTAGCATCTTGAGGTTTGGTCTTTTGCATGTGAGAACATGGGGAACTCAGAAATTTTCTCATCTCTCTAAACTGCCTTTCACTCTGCAGAATGGTGGTGAAAACAACCTCTTCAAAAGCCACAGCCGCACCAACAGTGGCATTAGCACTGCAAGCGGTGGCAGCACCGAGCCCACGACACCCGACAGCGAGCGGCCAGCACAGGCCCTCCTGAGGGATTATGGTAAGGAGAGCTCTTTGGGAAACCCTGGCACGGTGTACCAGCTTGGTGATTTCTGGGTTTTTCTGTAACAGTTCTGGCTAAAGGATTAATGTGCCCAGGTGTTTAGAGCCAGGGGGATAGCCCAGCTGTGTGCTGCAAGTCTGCATTCACATGTGCCTTTCCAGTGGTTGTATTAACCCTACTGAAGGAATCTATAAGCATTTTCAAAATCAGAATGTAAAAGCTTATGAAAAAGGTGTTTGCAAACTTTAACTGAGTTTTCAGGATACTTAATTTCTGTCAACAAGAATAAGATATATGTACATCAAGTTTAAATTAATCACTTCATTAGTTTTGATAGCATTCGAAATACTCGCCTGACCTCTGCAGCACCTTTTCTTAAACCACATTTTAAGAACATTCCAGGGATTCTGACTTTTATGGAGCAAGTAAGCAGGAGGCTTGTGATATGTCATATGCTGTAACAATAGAATTTGGTCATTAACTTTAGTTTGCTATGTCTTGTTCTGTCCACTTTTGACTCTTTGTAGTAAAATCCATGTTCTAAATCTGTGTGTGGTAAGCTGGCTGACTGTCAAGATCCTGAAATTTCACTTGCTCCTTTGGTCTTGAGTTTAACTGATGTTGGCCAATTAAATGTGAGAACAAATCACCTTTATTATATTGTAGCCTAGAGTGACAGTTCTATCACCACCAACCAAAAATGTTTGGTGGTGGTTTTTTTATCTAGTTCTGTAAATAGCCAGAGGAGGGAGATTATCAGGAAAGGCTTCAGTATATTCTGGGGATTCATATAAACATGTTGGTGCTTTCCCTTTTCCCAAGGATTTGCTTCTTTGAAATTATCAAAGTGCTAGTTTTCTGCACACCATTGGAATTGTATGTTTAATTTATGTGGGATTTCATTGATGAGTGCTTGTAAAAATACCCATTTGTAAGATTTTAAAAATCTTCTAAATATTTGAATTACAGTCTTCATACCATGACATAACTTGAAATATATTTTTGTAGTGTATTCATTTCATTGGATTTTTAACATTTCCTGTGCCCAGAAGGTAAGGTTGTAATGTGTTTATGAAAAGAATTAGTGTTTCCACTAGATGCTCCAAACAAGAGAAAACTGAAAACATGATGGTCTGTTGTTACTGTTTAGCCATAGTAAACTCTTGAATCTGCTCCTGGTATGACACTGGACATAGTTCTTGAGTGTTAAATAAGGTAATTTAAGTTTTGGGAAGCATATGCCTTATCTGTCACAGTTCTCATGTCTCTTTATAACTAGTCATTGACCATTTTTTTATTTCTGACATTAATTTGCATACTTCAGTTTTAACAAATACGGATAGTATTTATGTTTCATAGTATTTTGAAGTGAGAGCAACTGATACTTAAATGTTTCCCATTTTTAATTTTCAGTTAAAGGTTCAAGAAAACAGAAGGTTAAAAAGAATTGTTTCTCTAGCACTAATTCTTTCATTATCTGTGTCTGTTGAACTAGTGCAGCTTTTGATAAACATTAGGTGTGGATAGAATGGTTAACTTCTGACACAGATCTCTGAAATGACATGTTCTCCTTACTTCCTCAGTACAACTACTAATGTTTAATATACATTACCAAAGCATGTATTTTCCAGAGACTAAGACATAACATGACAGACAATTTAAGTACAACAGCAAAACCTGAAGCTGGCTTGTCTGCTGCTGAAATGTAGCAGAGCTCTGGGATTATTCAAAATGTCTTTAAAAAAATTAAATTTAGCTAGCTGGTCTGAATGGGTTTGTATAATGCCTGGAGAATATGTGAGGGAGTTAGGCTGTGCAAAAGGCATCAACCAGTTTCAAGATGGTTAGGGTTTATTTTATGTCTGTATTGTGTCTGCTTTGCCTTGTGCCTGTGCTTTGCTTTTTGTCACTAATGCTTAGTTATTTTTCCTCCCTGTGGTGTGTGGTTTTGGGGTTATATCCTAGCTCTTCATACAGATACAGCTGCTGGATTGCTGATCCGCAGCATTCACCTGGTAACCCAAAGGCTCAACTCGCAGTGGAGGCAGGACATGAGTATCTCCCTGGCTGCCCTGGAGCTGCTCTCTGGACTGGCAAAGGTGAGACATGCAGCTTGGTGTGCTCTGGCCCCTTCTCACAGGGTGCTTGTGGTCCTGCTGCCTTGGGTGAAGGTCATGGCACAAAACAGATTCTGTGGCTGAGTTTGTTGGCAACTCTTCTGTTTGGAAATTAAAAGGAAACAGTACTGCTGTTGCAGGTAATTTTCTCCCAGTGTAAACACACTGTGTTTACAGGACATGTGGTCTGGGAATGCTTTTTAGCTGAAACTTCTGTTGTACCATTTTTCCTCTTCCCTCTCATCTTGGAAATAGTTTTTAGAGCTGGATAAAATGTAGTGTATTGCTAATAGGAGGTATACTTAGAGCAGCCATTATAGCCTGATGTGGCAATTCAGCATTTCCTGTCATAATCCCTCAGGAAGTCAACAGATCTCTTTTAATGTGTCTCAGGCAGTTTTTAGAGCATTGATTCAGCACTGAGCCATATTGGACTAGGTGTTTATTCACTACTGCATTAGCTTGAGCTGAAGAATGTATTTGAAGGTGTTCTGAAATAAATTAATGTGTGTTATTGGATCTTACAGAGGACCATACAGAATCAGGGCTTTCTGCAGCTTGTGTGGTTAAGCTAGGGTCTTCTTGGTTTGTGTTTTTTCTTCCAGGATTATGGGAATGTGGAAATATATTATGTTTTCAAATGTATTCCCAGGTTAATGTTAAATACTTTAGTCTATGTATAATTCTCATGCAACTGAAGTAATTCTTGCCCTGGAATACATTTCCCCTTTACAACAAAGTGGGAAAAAATAGATCACTTCCTCCTACTGAACTACTGTGGGGACTTGTTCTGCATGTGTCTTTGGAGGTGACAGGTCCCAAAGCTTTTCTCAGGTAGGGGCTGTTCCCCTGTCTTGTGTCTGTTCCGCAGCTATTAGTGGGACTTAGAAAAGTCAAAAATCAAAATGTTTCCTGCAGGACTCTTGGTTCACAAACCTGTCTTTCATAAGCTTGCCTTGAGGGGACTCTGCTGTAGATCTTGAGCTTCTGAAGGATGTCCTAGCTAAATCCTGGGGCACTGAATTGTCACTCCCATTTGTGGTATACAGCTGCCAGTGCTGGCACTAGCAAGTCCATCCACCTTTGTGCTTGGATAAACATGGTCAGATGCTACAGGGTAGAAAAATCCATCTGTTCCTGTGCTGAGTCACAAGCCATGAATAAGAGAGAAAGTTCTTTAGCCTTACAGTTCAGGTCCTCATGGCTCATTGTGCTGTTTCCTGACCTTCTGATCTCGAGCCTTGCTCTCTGCAGCCCTGAGCTGGGAAAGAAGCAGAGAGAGGTGTTTGCAGTGAGTTTTGGGGAAGAGGTTATGGGGTTTTTATTAGTCTGCTTGTCCAGGGATGGCTTTTTTGTTCCTTTTACCAATGGTGGAAGTTATTGTCCTGGGAATATATCTAGGGGAAAGTTACTTGAGCAGAATGAAGCCCTGTGGAAGGG